CCCCCCTCTACCGCTCGAATTCCGCTGCTGCCGCCCCCCCTCTACCGCTCGAATTCCGCTGCTGCCGCCCCCCTCTACCGCTCGAATTCCGCTGCTGCCGCCCCCCCTCTACCGCTCGGGAGGGCGTCAGGAGGTAAGATGGGAGGGAGGTCAGCATCTTCTTCCTTGCTGATCTCCCTCCGAGGTCTGAATGCGGAAGCGATGTGTATGACATCACTTCCGCATTCACCTGTCAATCATCCGGCTGCTATAGCCAGAGACAAGAAGCTGATGAAGTAATCTGCGCTTCATCAGCTTCTTTTGGGATCCCCAGGTGACATCAGGGGTCTTAGAGACCCCTAATGTCTCCATAAACAGGACCTGTCAGTGTGCCTTTGCTATTATATAGGGGGATTGTTATCCCCCTATGTAATAACAATGCCATTAAGTGTAAAAAAACATAAGCAGAGTTTTAAAAAATAAGTTGCATATAAAAAAAGTAAAAAAAAACCCCAAACATTTTTAAATCCCCCACCCCCACGTTTACGCACATATAAACGTAAAAACGCGTTCGATGCGCCAGCGCGGGAAATCGACATTTGCGCTACATACGTTACATATCGTCGCGAACGTTGCAGTGAGAGCGATAATTCTAGGCCCATCAATCACTGATAACGCTAAACCGATGAGCGGTAACAGCTTTTAAAGTGTCGCCTATGGCCAATTTTGGGGTATTTGTAGTTTTTTGAGGTTTGGCGCGCGCACGCAATTTTAAGGCTTGACATGTTTGGTGTCTATTTACCCGACGTGACCCCGTCTTTTATATTTTACCAAAAAATTGGGTAATAATAAATGTTTTTTCATGTCAAGTGTCCTCCCGTTACCCTAAGGAGAACTATGGGGAAAAGCCCTGACCCCGTAGTTCTCCTTTAAATACCATCAAAAGAAAGCTCTATCTGTCCCCAAAAAATGGTATAAAATTCATGTCAGTGCAGCGTTGCGTGACGGAATAAATGTCAGTCAAAGTACCGCAGCGCTGAACACTGAAGAATGGTCTGGATGGGAAGGAGGTGTAACACCGCGGTCAGCAAGGGGTTAAGGAGAGTGAGGGAAAATTGAAAATTTTTTAGAGGTGTCCCCAGTATTAAAAATGAGAAGTTTTTTGTTTTTTTTAACCTGTTTTGCAGTCAACTGTCCAAATAAATAATTATAATTAATATTGTTTTTATTTATTAATTATAATGTAATATATGAATATTATTTTTTCCATATATCTATCTATATATATATAGTG